TGCTGTCAGCTCATCAACTGTTTCATATTTCTTTTAGGTTCTTAATTTTACTGGTCCAGTGACACTCATACCAGGTTGCTGGCACATCTTGTCACTACAGTTTAACGCTGGGAAAATACCTAGAACCCTAAACACGCACCTGATCATTGTAATTGGGTCCGGGTTAATGCTCAAGCTCCCTTTGCACCTCTGTTCAGTTCGCATGCAGGTAAATATGCAATGTTTCACCATCCATAATTACATCATCAGAATCGATATTTGACTCGTGCTACATTACAGATTTTATCACATACAAAAATGTTTTAAATCTAAATTGGCAAAGCTTTTAATTTGAAGATTTTCCTGAAACGTAGTTGCAGCAGTACTTTATTTTTGCATTTAACATTTTTGTTCAAAACACTTCATTCAAATGAACAAACACTTTTTTTTAACTTCTGTTGTATACTTAGATATAAAACTAATCCCACATTGCAATGTTTCTACATAAATAACTAACTGCACACAAAACATTTGGGAATGAGTTAATAGTACAAAACTGCTAAATTACAGTGTGGAGCTGGAGGAACACTGCAGGCCAGGCAGCATTCAGTGTCCTGACTCGAAACGTCAGCTTTCCTGCTCCTCTGCTGCCTGGCCTGCTGCATTCCTCCAGCTCCACATAGTATTATCTCTGACTTCAGCATCGGCAGTTCTTACTATCTCTGCTAAATTAGTGTGTTTTGTCAGGTTACATAGACTAGCTGATTTTAGAAAACGAAAAATTCTCAAATGTGCAGTGTGATTGTTTTCTTCATTGATTGGAACTAACAGAGATATGAGAGCATAGTGATCTCTACTTTGTAGTTAAGTGTTCAGGTATCCAGTGAAGCTGGAGATAAGCATTCAGTGTCTATGTTGAAAAATGTGCACTGTTCTCATACCAACATGCCTTATCTAAAAGAAAAGTCATCCATTTATGTTAGAAAATAGTGTTTGATGTGGAGGGAATAAAATATGTCGTACAAAAGACCTCTCCAAAACTTGCTACAAGACTTTTTTTTAAAAAAAAACCTTTTTTGTGAGCACCTGTTTGAATATTTGTGTCTTGTCAGAACTTGCATAAATGAAATAAATGCTGCTTCATTATTTTTACAGGATGAAAGTACTAAATCATGTGTTTCTTAGCAAGTAGAAAATTTAGATTTTGCATTTCTTGATTTCAGTTTTAATTACTTAAGCTGTAGAAGTGAGAACATTGGACAACAGTCATGATAAGCTTAGCATTTGAAAATTAATGAATTGCATCACAACTGCTGACTTAAAGTTAATTGAAGAAAAACAAAAGGAAACATGAATTTAAATTCAGTGATCCCATGTTCCCATAACTCTTGAGTTCTGAACAGGGAAGTTACAAGAATGCAACTGATTTCATCTGAACACTGCACGATTCAAGATCATGGAGTGGTTGAATATATTGTAACAGTTTTTATGTTGCAATTACTACCCCTCTCCTTGCCCTGTTAACTGCCTTTAACACCAATCATCAATTGGTCTCCCATTTTGTGTTACTTGGCCTGCATCATCACTTTTTTACAACTGTTGTTTGAAGTTTTAAGTTTACTTCTGATTTATATCATTTGGACATCATTGGTTAATGCATTTCATATTTTCTGACTACTTGTGCAAAAGGAACTAGCATTTGGCCTTATTTCATTCTCAGATATCTTAGCACTTCACAGCCAATGAATTGCTTTCTGAAGTGTGCTCACTGTTATTTGACAAATACAATTATGTTCCACACAGCAAAGTCCTACAAGCAGCAATGATCTAAATGATAGTCCAGCTGGTATAGGTAGGGACTAAGAATTGGGCATGTCATTGCCTGAACTTTCCTACTCAACAATGCCATCGATCCCTTATAATCACTGGAACAGACTGGAAAAAAAAAACGTGGTTTAACACCTCTGCCAAAATCGGGCATCCTGGGTAGTGCAGCATTTTTCTTCAGTGCTATGCTCAAGTTTTAAGCCTATGTCAAAGTTGAAAAGTGCATTTAAATCCACAGTTCTGATTTTGTAAGAAAGAAGAAAGGTTTGCATTTACAGTGCCTTTCCCAATTGCCGGATATCAAATATATTTTTAACCCTGTGTATTTGCTCTTATACTTTAGGAAGCTGGCCAATAATTTGAGCACTGCAAGTTCATATTAACAGTCATAGTCATACAGCACAGAAGCAAAACCTTTGGTCCAACAGGTCCGTGCCAAACATAATCCCAAACTAAGCTAGTCCCACCTGCCTGCTCCTGGCCCATATCCCTCCAAACCTTTCCCATTTATGTACTTATCCAAATGTCTTTTCAAATGTTGTAATTGTGCCCATATCCACCAATTCCTCAGGAAGTTCATTCCAAACGCGAACTACTCTTTTTTAAAAAAAAAAAAAAAAAATTGTCCCTCATGTCTTACTTAAATCTCTCTTCTTTCACCTTAAAAATCTGACCCCTGGTCTTGAAATCCCCCGATTCTAGGGAAAAGGCATCTACTAACCATTAATCCTATCTAAACCCCTCATGTTTTTATAAACTTCTCTAAGGTCTCCTCTCAACCTCCTACACTCCGGCGAAAAAAGCCCCAGCCTTTCTTTATAACTCAAACCATTTATACCCAGTAACAACCTGGTAAATCTCTTCTGAACTCTCACCAGCTTAATAATATGCCTTCTATAACTAGGTGATCAGAACTGGACACGGTACTCCGAAAGAGGTCTCACCAATGTCCTCTACAACCTCAACATGACTTCCCATCTCCTATACTCAAAGGACTGAGCAATGAAAGCAAGCGTGCTAATGCCTTTTTAACCACCCTGTCTATGTGTGACGTAAACTTCAAAGAGTTATGTACCTGAACCCCTCGGTCCCTCTGCTCTACGACACCACCAAAGGCTCTACCATTAACCATATCAGCCCTACCCTTGTTTGTTGTACCAAAATGTAATACCTCGCATTTATCCATATTGAACTCCATCTGCCATTTTTCAGCCATTGACCCATTTGATCAAGATCCCTTTGTAATTTTAGAAAACCACCTTCACTGTTTACAATTTTCCAATTTTGGTGTTGTCTGCAAACGTAACCATGCCTTCTATATTCTCATCCAAATCATTTACGTGGATGACAAACAAAAGAGGACCCAGAAGCGATCCCTGTGGAACGCTGCAGGTGACAGTCCTCTGGTCTGAAAAACAATCCTCCACTACCACTCTGTCTCCTGCTATTAAGCCAATTATGTATCCAATTGGCAAGCTCCCCCTGAATCCCATGTGACCTAACTGTACTAGTTAGTCTACCATGCAGAACCTAGTTGAATGCTTTACTAAAGTCCAAGTAAGCAACATCTACTGCTCTGACTTCATCAATCTTTTTGGTAATTTTCCCAAAAATCTAAATCAAGTTTGTGGGACATGATTTTACTTGCACAAAACCATGCTGACTATTCCTAATCAATTTTCTCTAAATGTGCATAAATCCTATCTTTTAAAATCATCTCCAACAATTTACCCACAACCGAAGTCAGCTTCACAGGTCTACAGTTGTCCAGTTTCTCCTTACAACCCCTCTTAAACAAAGTTACAACATTAGCCCTATGATTATAATAAATTATCTTTCCTAATGTTAATTGAGAGATGCATATTGTTCAAGACACCAGGGATAATTTGCTCGCTGTTTGTCTAAATAGTGCAATAGGGTGTTTATGCTGACCTGAGAGGAGATGGGGACCTTGGCTTAATGTATCATCCAGCAACTCAAATGCAGCCCTTCATCAGTACTGCCCTGGAGTACCAGTCTAGAATTTTGTGCTCAAATGCTCGATTCGGGGTTGAATCTCAACCTTCTGACTTGAGTGGTAATGCTACTAACAGGAGCGAAAGTGGGAACTCAATTTTGAGTTGAGTGAACAGCTATGATCATATTGAATGGCAAATGGCCTACTCCTGCTCCAATTTTTTATGTTTCAGCTGTGCCACTTTGGCACTAAAGAATGTCAGTGCCTCTGATTCAAGCTTTTGCAAGTTAGATTTCCTTTACATGCACCATGGTTCTGTGTTTGAAGTGCTGCTAATGATTTGGAAATCTCACTTTTTGTTGCCTTTTTTCTAATGTGCATTATTCTCCTCATTTAAGTATTGTCATGAGATCATATGTATGCAGTAATAAGTGAGTCTTAACCACCATTCTGCATTCTCCAATGCTGCTGAAGGGACACCAAAAATGAAATCATGAGACATCACTTAGATAAAATGCATTCTTTACATATTTTTATTTTCACTGGGACTACAATCTACTAAAGTAGCTTTCCTTTTTCTGAACAGGGGAATGTGTATTCTGATTCAATTCTGCAGTGTGGTGTATATTGCTATCTAGGGGCAGAAGGTAAGAACAGAATGATGCACACATTTCTGTTGTATATTTATATTGATTTTAGGGGAGTAATTTGTTTAAATCAGTAGTCAGGTCACTGACAAAATTCTATTTTGTTGGCCTGTTCCCCTGTTCAATATTACTTCCTCATTTCCTCTCCTGATCAAACCAGCACAGTTATGGGTAGATCAGGCCAGACTTTCCTGCATTATCGTCTGGATCTTCAAGCAGGCTATGTCTTCCAGCAGCTGATCCTCCAGACTGTGGCAGTGGTGATTTACTACTCCAGTTTAATTTCACCCCTTCAGTCAGTTGTGATGTTCAACTAACTGGTTACAGTGCAGTGCAAATTGCAGTGGAATAAAAAGAGGAAATAGCCAGTTAAAAGACAGTAGACTGTAGTTGCCTGAAATGCAGTTGAGGAATCTGGAAAATTTGGGGAGATTCAGACACTCCCTACCTAAAGCTTATTGTTTTACTTGATGCAAGAAAGTACTTTGTTTAATGATTTTGTTTAATTATCGTGTCTTTGATTAGGTGGCTTTGACAATTGTGATTTTGTCAAATGAGCATTACCTACTCATTAGAAAATCTACTCATTAGAAAATCACCTCACATATGGATATTTGAGAGCAGCAATAGATGTTTCTATGCTTATATCTGAAGTTGGATTTTGATTTTAAAAAAACATTTGTGCATGAAATTAATCTAGTAAAACTTACTCAGGAAATGTGTCTGAACTACAGCTAAGGAGGGTCAACTAGAATGTATTTTGCACAAGTTCAGGCAACATCTCTTACTCACTTTTATATTTTTTTACTTTGATTAGGTGATGCATAATCAACTTAAGTAAAGTTTAAAGTAACACTGCATGTTGACAGTAGACTTTAGGCTGTCTTCCTGTCAGCTACCAAATTTATTTTGTCTTCTGGTTTAGAACATAATGATTCAATATCAAGATAACAGACATTTTTAAAAGATTTTAGTGATAATAGTGAATGCCCCGAAATTGTGCTAATAGAACAACATTAGAGTTATCTGGTATTTTCAGCCATGTGCCTCTTGACATCATCTGTGTCTTTCAGCTGCTGTGCACTGGCATAACAGTCTTTCTCTGGAATCCTCATCCTGGAAAGTGGATTCTGAGCTGGGTTTGGATTTACGACACAAATGGCAACAAATGACAGAGAAAAAAGTGAAGAGGTAAAACTAACAGATGAATGCAGTACTTAAAAATATGAAGGCCTGAATTTTACGTTACTCATGGTTGCAAAAATGTCAGTACTCACGATCACTGCGTTTGAAATTAACAGCAATTTCTGGACATAGGCAGTTAAATTGGGAACTTCAGAAGTTTCTGCTTTTCTGCAGGTTGTGGTGTACTAGAGATTCAGTTGATTAAAACTCACTGAAATGATGAGAACACGTTCTTATTTGTGCTATTGGTCGTACTGTAAAAATGATTAGAAAATGTTGCACCTTTTTCACATGAGGTGTAACTGCATTTATAGTGGATACTATAATTATTGTTAACAAGCTTAATGTACTGGAAAAACTAATTGTAAATTCGTTAACTACCTTCTTGAGGGCAATTAGGAATCCCATGAACAATTTAAAACAAAATCTCCATGAAAGTTCACGTAATTAATATTTCGGAACAAAATTTGAATTGCAACTTTTACCTTAATCCATAATTTAGATATTTGTAAAATGTGATCAGAAGTGAAAAACATCAGTCCATTTTGTGAAGTCATTTGTTGTCTATGAAAACACAAGACTTGATTGGCTGCATTCCATATTTAATGGCAATACTGTTTCTGTATGCCTGGTGATTCCCTTGATTTGGCATCAGATCAAACTGATGTCAGGAAAAGAGATTGCCAGATCAGCTTTCTTTTGAGGTCAGCAACAAGCACCATCACTTACCTGTTCACAACTAAATCTGAGGTGAAGAATAATGTATACCTAGGAGTGATTTATAGTACAATAATTCAGTTGTTGGATTTGAATGATTGGATGCAAATTACTTCTGTAATTTATGGCCATAATCCCAATCTGAAGATTGGAATGCCACTTCTGAATTTATTTCAGAGCTTCTGATACTATTATAAAATGTAACATTTATTTCTATTTACCATAGAATGTAATTACAAAAGTTTAGTTGAAAGATCAGTCACTTCAATCACAGTATGATTTTCAGTATTAATAGATGGATTATGTCACCACCTTCTGGCTGAGTTGTGGAACTGCAAAAATGCCTCTCCCTGTATTTGACCTTTGTTAATTTTGTTTGTTGGGAATCTGTACATTTTTCCATGAAGGCTAGAGTGCAGTCAATCCGATCAATAATGTGACCAATTACACTTGCTCAGATATGGGCTTGCAATCTCTGTTTTGATTAGGTATTAACTTCTTGGAAATTGGGGCTAGTGCCCAGAATTCATTGCCATGAATTTCCTTTTCTTTTGTTCACAGTACATTTGAGTTTATTAAATCCAATCCTGACTCTATCTGACTCTTGGTGTACTGATGACATATTTTGCGATTTGGCAATACTACAGGCATCGAATGCAAGACCTAACAATAAATGAATTAATCATTTTTTATGAGCATCTCTGGCAGGCCAGACTCTCTCTTTTTTTGCCAATGAGAAGGTCATGATGAACTGTTTTCCTGAATAGCTGGATGCATGTAGTGGTAGTGCATCCACAATACTCCTCGGAAGAGTACCTAAACTTTTTGACTGAATAATATTGAAGAATTAGTGATATGCTTCCAAGTCAGAAGGGTGTGTGATTTTGGACGGAACTTGCAGATGGTGATCTTCTCATGGGTCTATTGTCTTTGTTCTTCTAGGACATAGAGATTTGGAGGCTGTGTTGAAGGAGCCCTGGTGAGATACTGCAGAAAATCATGTAGATGGTGTACAGTGCTGGCATTGTGTGTTAGTGGAAGTAGCAGTATATGTTGAAAGTGATGAATGTGGCGCCAATCAAGTGGGCTGTCTTGTCTGGGATGGTGTCAAGCTTCTTGAGTTTTACTGGAGCCATTGAACCCATTGTGACTGTACTGACTGAGTCACCTAGCTGCCCATTCTAATCCATTTACCAGTCCTGTTCTGAAACCTTGTAGGTTACAGTACTTCACATGCAGATAATTTAAATGACTTGGGGGTTGCATGGGAACACACACTGCTTCAATATCTGAGGAGTTGAAAATGGTCCTAATTATCAGTGAGCATTTGTCAGTGTACATCTCCCCATTTGGCCTCATGTTGGAGGGAAGGTCATTGAAGCAGCCGAAGAGGGTTAGGCCTGGGACACGACCCTGAGGAACTCCTGCAGTGTTGTCTTAGGGCTGAGATGCTTGATCTCCAACAATTATAACCATCTTTTTTGTGTTTGGTATGATTTTATGCAGTGGAGAGTTTACTTTTCATCTCTATCAACTTTAATTTGCTAGGACTTCTTGATGCTACACCCAGCAAAACACTGCCTTTATGTCAAGGGCACTTGCTCTTGCCTTATCTCTGGGATCAGTTCTGTTGTCCATGCTTGGAACAAGGCTGTAATGAGATTTAATTGATGTAGTTTTCCATTGTATTATAGAAACCTTTGGGCAGTGACGGTCTGGAGTACAAAGGTAGCTTTCAATAGCTTTAGGTACTTGGTAACCTACAGGTGGACACTAAATGCAAAAATTTTAATTACTGATCAATTTTATGTGGCATCTTCACAAGGTAGAAGATGCACCATTTATAGTCAGGTGTATTTTACCATGTCACCAACAGCAAGTGAAAACATGATACAAGAAGGTGGCAAAATAACACTTCTTCGCAATGAGGGATGGGAAGGAGCAGTTAGCTGGTGGAATTTGCTTTGCATGTGTTTTTAGACATGTTTGCAAATTCTTCCAGTTGAGAATTGGTTTCTTAGAAAAGAAGAGTACCCTTCAAGGATATGGGAGCAAAGAGGTGAGATAAGTTGTGTTGAGGAAATTTCTGCATGTAAAGTTGGCACATTTCTTTATTATTACACTGCATAATTCTTCTGCTTAACAGCTAGAATATTGAGCACTTATAACTGAAATCTGAGCGATGCATGGATCTCTAGCTTTTACAGAACAACTTTATTGAATTGCTTTTGTATTGTAACTCAGATTCCCATGCCTGAGAGACCATTGAAAGAATATGAGCTGGTAACTTGGGTTTTTGAAGCCTGGTTGATGGCTTGTTGACTCTGCCTGTTATGAACTGATCAACTGAAATAAGTACTGGACTCCTGAATCCAAGTTTAAGAACACACACTGCTTCAATATCTGAGGAGTTGAAAATGGTCCTAATTATCAGTGAGCATTTGTCAGTGTACATCTCCCCATTTGGCCTCATGTTGGAGGGAAGGTCATTGAAGCAGCCGAAGAGGGTTAGGCCTGGGACACGACCCTGAGGAACTCCTGCAGTGTTGTCTTAGGGCTGAGATGCTTGATCTCCAACAAGATTGAAATAGTCAGGTGGTTGTTTTTGACCAGATGCGATGGGCTGAAGGGCTTTTTTATGTGCTGTAGGTCTCTGACTGTAAATCAATTTTAAAGCATGTTCTGAGACATGACTCTGAAGTAGTATTCCAGTCAACATATGTTTGTCATTCATTCCAGTGCTTTAAAATATACCCTGTTATTTTTGGTAGTTTCCACAGTACGTAAGTTACAACATCAACCATATTTGGGTATAAAGTAATTTAGAAGGCAGATTTTGTAAGCAGTCAAGGTGTATACTGGCCAAACCAGTAATTTGGAAAATGTCAGCCTTTACCTTGCATCTTCCATAGACTTAAGCTCCTCCAAAGCTCTGCTATCTGTATCTTAACTCCCAGTAAACCTACTCCTGTTTACTCACCACTTCTAGGCTCGCTGACCTGCATTGCCTCTTTATCTGCAAATGCCTCAATCTCTCCGTCATTCCTCCCTAGCTTGTGCAGCTCTAACCAATCACTTTTCGGTTTCAAAAGTATCCATGTTGCTTGGTAGTACAGAACTTAAATGCTTAAGGTATTCAAATTGCTGAATTGTCCGCTGTCAACATCCTAGGGGTTACCATTGACCAGAAACTGAACTGGACTAGCCATATGAATACTGTGTCTTCAAGGGCTCTGAATGCTGCAGTGATTTTCTTGGCTCCTGACTTCCTAAAGCTTCCATGGTTTATGGTTTACAAGGCACAAGTTGGAAGGAGTGCTTTTGGTTATTCTCCATTTCATGAATAAATGCAGTGCCTGTGAAGCTTCAGAAACTTAAAGCCACCTAAGACAAAATAACCAGTTTGTCACTTGATAAAATGTTCACTCCCTCCACCCCCGATGCATAGTGGGTGTTAGTGTGTATCCTCTACAAGACACACACTGCAGAACCCACCGAGTCTCCTTTGATAGCACCTTTTTAAATTAGAGACCTTTACCATTGAGAATTACAAATGTGCAGCAGACACATGGGAACACCACTACATGGAAGTTTGAATCTGTCACCAAGTTAAGGGAAACACTTGGTCATCTTGCAACAGGAATGTCATTGAGCAGGGGATGTTACCAGTCACACAGCAGTATTATTGCAGACAGCAAATCTGGAAGTAAAATTCCCCAATAGGTTTTCACTTGTAAAGAAAAACGTTTTCAAGAAGCTAGCAAAATGATCGGGACATTTACATGAGATCAAGTTAGAAACTGAAATTTTACATTTTTTAAAAAAATGAGATTTGTTGCAATGGAGAAATTTGATAAATATAAAATTTGTTGTCCAAGGTCAGCAATAATTAAGATTGTAGTACTCTTAAGAACCCAGTACACCTCACTTAACAAGGTGCAAATCTCTCATGTTATTAGAGAGAAACTAGTTGTGTAAAAAGGCACGTTCTCATCAGTTCAGTGATTTATATTTGATTACAATTTGAGAGGACTTCCAAGAGCACACATTATGGGGAAGCAAAGCTAACAGACACAAACTTTGGGATATCCATATTTAGATAAGCTTGTGCAGATTCCATATCAAATAAGGGAAGCGATACAACTTCAAATTCCACACTAGGGATTATAAACTTTTGGAATGCTCCCAATGCTGAATGGTAGAATTTAGAAATAGTAAGATCAGCCAGGTTAACATCGTTGGAGATGTGGTGCAGAGAGAAGGCTTCAGATTCCCAGGGAAGTTGGAGTAGTCCTGGGGCAAGGACTGCACCTCGGGGAAAGCCCTTGCAGGTAGCTTAACTAGTGCTGTGATGGAGTGTTTAAGTTAATTTGGCAGGGATATTAGCAGTGTAAAAGGCAAAGAGGAGGAATTCCTAAAAAGAAACGAGAATTTTTTGAGTAGTATTTCCTTGTTCAGGAGAATGAAGTGGAGCAGAGTTGAGTGAGGGAGCATTTGGGGAACTGTGATCAAGTAAAAGTTGAGAATAATCACAAGAATTTGGAGCAAGCAAGTGTGAAAATAATTAATACGAAGAGAGCTAATTTCGATGAGTTAGGAAGGGATCTGGCCCCAGTGGATTAGTTGCTGATTGGTAGATAAATCAGTAAAAGTCACTGAAAATCCAAAGCTAAAGTTAGATGACTAACTACAAGAGGAAATGGAAGGGTGGGTTAGTAAGTTTGCTGATGACATGAAGGTTGGTGGAGTTGTGGATAGTGTGGAGGGCTGTTGTAGGTTGCACTAGGACATTGACAGGATGCAGAGCTGGGCCAAGAAGTGGCAGATGGAATTCAACCTGGAAAAGTGTGAAGTGATTCATTTTGGAAAGTCGAATTTGAATGCAGAATTCAGGGTTAATGGCAGGATTCTTGGCAGTATGGAGGAAGAGATGGATCTTGGGGTCCACACCCATAGATCCCTCAAAGTTGCCTCCCAGGTTGGTAGGATTGTAAAGAAGGCATATGGTGCGTTGGTTTTCATTGGCAGGGGGATTGAGTTTAAAAGCCATGAGGTTATGCTGCAGCTCTATAAAGCCCTGGTTAGACAAAACTTGGAATATTGTGTTCAGTTCTAGTCGCCTTATTATAGGAAGGATGTGGAAGCTTTAGAGAGGGTATAGAGGAGATTTACCAGGATGCCGCCTGGACTGGAGGGCAGGTCTTATGAGGAAAGGTTGAGGGAGCTAGGGCTTTTCTCATTGGAGTGAAGAAAGTTGAGAGGTGACTTGATAGAGGTGTACGAGATGATGAGAGGCATAGATAGACTGGATAGTCAGAGACTTTTTCCCAGGGTGGAAATGAGTATTATGAAGGGGCATAATTTTAAGGTGATTGGAGGAAGGTATAGGGGAGATGTCAGAGGTAGGTTCTTTACACCGAGAGTGGTGGGTGCGTGGAATGCGCTGCCGGCAGTGGTAGTGGAGTCAGATACGTTAGGGACATTTAAGCGACTCTTGGATAGGCACATGGATGAGAGTAAAATGTAGGGTATGCAGGGTAGTTTGATCTTAGAGTAGGAAAATTGTTCGGCATAACATCATGGGCTGAAGGGCCTGTACTGTGCTGTACTGTTCTATGTTTTGTTATTGCGGACAGTCTGCCTACAATCTTCCCCTCATCCTTCAGCAAGAAGAGGGATAGCTTTCAAAAAGGAACTGGATAAATAATTGAAGGGAAAACATTAAAAGTTCTCAGATACTGGGGACAGAGCAGTGGAAAAGGATTCTTTGAATATCTTTCACACAGCCATACAAACTGTTATGGCCCTTTATGTGCTGTATCTTCTTATGATTCTAACTTTTAGACTGTTTATTTCCCCTTGAAATAGGAAAATATTGTTAGATGAAGATCATCTTACGCAGCAGAAAATCCAGCAATCGTTTTCAACTGACTTTATTTGGCCCCGTTTAACTCGAGACTTTCTAATAAGCTTCAGTGTTACTGCTTCGCACAACACAACGGTAAGTCATGATCAACACATTTAAACATGGTTTTGAAGACAAAACCTAATCATATTCATTGTTAGATTGGATTATGTAGGTCTTGTGTATTTCTGAACTTGATTTAAAATTTAGCCAGACGGATGCATGTCGTTACAGTTATCTATTTGTATTATGTAATTACAATCCTAACCAACTTAATCACTCCTCAAATGCCAGTTCTGTCATCCCGCAAATCAATTTGCCAAACCTTCACTGTACTCCCTTGCAACAATATCCTTCCATAGATAAGGAGATCAAAAATGTGCGCAAAAAATCCAGGTGTGGCCGTTGTAATTGCGGCAAGACAGTTGTTTCCTGTACTCATCCTATTGCTATGAAATGCCAGCATACAGTTTACCTTCTTTACTGGCTGCTGCGCCTACATGTTTAGTTTCAGTGACTAGTGCACGAGGGCACCCAGGTTTTCTTGAACGTTACCCCCTCTGAATTTACAGCAATAAACAATAATCTGCCTTCCTATTGTTGGTTACCAAAGTGATATCCCTGCAGTACCCTGCTAGTCACTGCCTGCCATTCAGAAACAATTTATTCCTAATTTGTTCTCCTGTCTGATCACCAATTTTCTACCCATCTCAATACACTAACCCCCCAATCCCACGCACTTTAATTTTACACATTAATCTCTTGCATTGGACCTTGTCAAAAAAGACTTCTGAAAGCCTAAATAACCCACATCCATTTGCTTCCCTGATCAACCCTACTAGTTGTACCCTCGAAGAATTCCAGCAGATTTGTCAAGTATGATTTACCTTTGTAAATCCATGTTGACTGCGTCTGATTCTTCCATTGTTTTCTAAGTGCTGTGCTACAAAATGCTTAATAATGATCTCCAGCATCTTCCCCACTACTGATGTCAAATTCAGTGGTCTGTAATTCCCTGCTTATTCTTTACCACCCTTTCTAAATAGTTAATCAAACATTAGCTACCCTTCCTGTTGGAGCTGTTCCAGAGTCTGAAGAATCTTGGAAGATGACCACCAATGCATCTGCTTTGTTTAGGGCCAGATCCTTGAGCATTCTGGGATCTAGATAATCAGGCTCTACTGGAAGGATTGATTATGAATTTTCTCCCAATGTCTTTTATTGGAGATGGAGAAAAAGATGTCTTGTAGAACGCATACAAATGAGGCCCAGCTAACAACTTTCCTCTCACCTTTGATAAATTTGTAATTGTATCAGTTAGCATCTGCTCCCTAGACTCAGGCAGGCCTAGATTTGTTGATAATTTTCAGAAATGTTCATTTTTGGATGCCTGCTTTCAGATTAAAATTCCCATCCTCCCACTTAGGTCCCTTCATAAACTTGTTCCTCCCCTGTTTGTACTTAACTTTACCACTGCAAATCCAAACCCCACCATACCTTGTGCCCTGTTTTTAAACCTCATCCTTCTTTAACATGCATCTTACTTGACCTGTTGACCAAACTTGGTCACCCTTCAACTGCTACTCAGTTTCCATATTTCTGTAATAGTGTTTCAGGACTTTCTTGTTAAAAACACAGTATAAGTAACATATGTCTTTGTGGCTTTTACACATTCTCCCTAATGTCTGGGTGAGTTTCCTCCCATAGTCCAAAAATGTGCAGATTAGGTGGATTGACCATGCTAAATTGTGTATCGTGTCCAGGATGTGCAGGCTCGGTGGATTAGCTATAGGAAATGCAGGGATATGTAGGGAGGTGGGTCTGGGTGGGATGCTCTTCGGAGGGTCAGTGGGGACACAATGTGCCGTTTGGCCTGCTTCCATACTGTAGGGCTTCAATGATTCCATGATTTAAGTTTTTTTTTTTTTTTTTTTTTTTTTTCTGGGCATATATTGGCCAACTTCTGATCCACCCATCACAAGCTCATGTGTCTCCAGTCAGACCACATGATGCTGAGAAAAGTTCAACATCGCCATTGCGGAACCTTTCTCTGTTTCTCCCATTGAATTGCCAGTACCCCTGACTACGTGACTACAGCTCTGTCAAACACATTCCTTGTCCTAATGTATAGTGCTGTACAATAAAGCATGACCCTCATTGAATTTAACTGCAGACATTGCAAAATATATATCAGTCATAATTTTCAGAGTCCATTTTAAGAGGATGCAATTTATATTCTGAATGTTTGATTCCTAGATGTAAATTTCTAAATTTAGGTATGACTGACTTTCAACTAAGAAATGACACAATCCAGATAGTATTCCTTGCAATTTGGAAGTCTAAAGAGTAATTTAGTCGAGCTTTGTGCTGTGTGAGACTCCAACCAGTAGAGGGTTTTCATCGTGGCTCCCATGGGATTCTAGCTTTTCCAGAATTTTTTCATACCACACTGTCAAAGGCCTTGATGTCAAGGCCAACCACTGTAACCTCCCATCATGAGTTTGTTTCCTTTTGTTTGTATTGGATCAACACAATAATGAGATTGAAAACCAAATGGCCCTTGTGTGTCCAAGCTGAGCATTATTTTTTGCTTTGTAATTGTCACTTGATAACACTGATCACTAATTCTGTCACATTTTGATGATCGTGAAGAGGCAGTAATTGGTCAGATTGAATTTATGCTGATTTTTGTGGCCAAAGATACTGGGGCAGTTATCCACATTGCTGGGTAGGAGTCATTTTGTTGTCGTACTGGATTGGCTTGGCTAGTATTGTGGCTATTTCTTAAGTCTGAGTCTTCAGTTCCATTGCTAAGATATTCATGAGGACCATATCTATTGCAATATCTCGTGCCTTCAACTGTTTCTTAATGAGGTGTGTTATAGTGATAATGTCACTAGATTACAGCCCAGAACCCTAAGGTTTTGGAGTAGATTTGTAGCTCGAGTTGTGGGTGTTGAGGTTGGTTGGCTCGCCGAGCTGGTTTGTTGTTCCGCAGACGTTTTATTACCCTGCTGGGTAACATCATCAGTGCAGTCTCCAATGAAGCGCCAGTGTGTTTTCCTGCCTGGTTCTTAAACTCTGGAGTCCGTTGAGCTGGATTGCCTCACTTCCGGCTTTCCTTCGTAGTGGAGTATATATGGGGTCAAGTTCTGTGTGTTTATTGATGGCTTTCTTCGTGGAGTACCAGGCTTCTAGGAATTCCCGTGCCTGTCTCTGTAGTCCAGAACCCAAGCCAATGTCCTGGGGACGTAGGTTCAGATCCCACTGTGATAGATGTTGAAATTTGCATTAATTAAAATCTGAGATAGAGAGCTGGCCTAATGACCACCATGAAACCATTGTCAATTGTTGTAAACACTCATCTAATAGTCAATATTGTCCTTCAGGTAGATGGCAGATTTCCTTCCCTAATTTGGCCAATATGAGAGTCCAGATGCACAACAATGTGGTTGATTCATAACTACCGTCTAGGCCGAAGGGGATCAGCAAAAAACGCTGATCTAGCCAGTGATTTCCACATCCCGTGAATAAATAAGAAAAATGTCACATGAAGTGAATCAAATCAGCTGGAGATTGGTGTCTGTGATCCTGGGAGACTTCAAGAGAAGCTCAAAATGGATCATGTGCTCAGTGGTTCTGGCTGAAGATAGTTGCATATGGTTTAGCCTTGTCTTTTTTGTATTGATATGCATGACTGCCAGTTCCTGAGGATTTGTGAAATCCCCTCCTCCTGTTTGATCATCATGTAGTTCATGACTGGATGTGACAGGACTGTAGGATCAGATCCATTAGTTGTGGGTTTAGCTTTGTTTATTGCAGGATGCTTCTGCCATATGTTGTGCAAATTGTTACATATTGTAGCTTCAGTTTGATTTTAGCTCTGCCTGGTGCTGTTCCTGTCATGTTCGTCTATACTCTCCATTGAACCAGGGTAGTTTACCCTGGCTATGCCGCCCATGAGGTTACAGGTTATGACTGAAAACAGTTCTGATAATCATGCATAATGCTTTGTGAATTCCCAGTTTTGAGTTGCTAGATCTGTTCTGTGTGTGTCTCACTTACCGCTGCCACAGCACACAGTGGAAGGTATTCTCAGTGTAAAGATGGGATGTTGTCTGTCCAAGGTTATGAGGTGGTCACTTCCACCTCTACTGTCAAAATATATCTGCAATAAGTAGACTGGTGAGGATAAGATCTTATAGGTTTTTCCCTCTTGTTGATTTCTTCAACATCCACTGTAGACTCAGTCCTCTCAATCCCCACGGTACATTCTTTGGCCTTAGCTCCCTCAATGTTCCTTTTTAAGTAGTGTTTAATGTGAAGACCTACTGATTCATCAGCTACTGGGCGCAGTTGGTGGTAGTCAGTTGAAATTTTCCTTGCTCATGTTTAACTTGATGGTATGAGAGTGCAGAGATGACTGCTAGTTCCCTCAATCTTTTCTTGCAGCCATTTTACTTCTCCACCCCAACCTTTCCTTTAAGGGAAAGAAAGGGGAAGTGGTGACATAACATTACTGTCATCATCCTGAAGCCCAAACCAATGCTGGCGGAATTTAAACTCAATTAATGCATTCATTCGGCAATGGAAAACCTTGAACTGAAAACTATTCTCAGCAAACATACCACAAAACTATCATTGATGGTCATATAAACCCAGCTGGTCCATTTGAGCTGTCAAGTCAGAGTTTCACAAGATCTACAGCACAGAAAACAACCCAGAGGAACCAAACTATTCTGTTCCCATTTTTTTGTACTTGGCCGAGAGCTTTTTTTGCCGTGGCATCGCAAGTCCCATCTAAATACTACTTCAATATTATGAGGGTTTTTGCTTCTACCACCTCACAGACAGTGAGCTCCAAATTCCCACCACCCTCTGGGTGAAAAAACGTTTCCTGTCATCCTCTCTAAACCTCCTGCCCCTTTCCTTAAATCTATGCCCTCTGGTCATTGGTCCTTCCACCAAGGGGAAAAGTTCCTTCCTGTCTAAGTTATTTATGCCTCGTGCTGGAATTACTATTACAATGGCAAACCTCTGCCCACAAATACCCTCCGGAATTGTCATTAGCACCGTTAAACAATCATGTTCCATCATCAAGTTGCACAAACCTCCCACTGTGACCTCTGAGGAAATGAGGTTCTGACACAGCGTGGGGCTCATCTTACCCTGCTAAGTTTTATATGCTAGGATATTTACTGCTAATCTATTTTGCGTGCTTTAATTGGCTTCCTAGCACTGCTGCGTCGGTTATCTTCACCACACAAGCCCTGTTCAGGGCAAGAAGGTATGAGCTCCTCCACAACTTTCCTGGCCCTTTTTCATTTCCAAACTTGCCGCCAAGTGCTTTGTAAAATTCCTCCCGAACTGTGTTAATTGTTTTAGTGATTATCATTCTTAAAAATAGTGGCCTGCGTGTACATTGACGTGCAAGTAAATGAAATGAGTAGACTTAGACCATTCAACCCCTCAAGCCTGCTCTGCTATTCATTAATATCATGGTTGACCTGCTTGTGTTTCAAATTTCACATTGTCACCTATTCTCTAATTTATGATTCCCCACCTACAAAAATTCAATGATCCTGCTTTCATCAACTTCTGAGGCAGAGAGTTCCATTGATGCACAAATATCTGAAAGAAATTTTTTCCTCATCTTGGTCCTAAAAGTGTGATCTCTAACTTTAAAACATTGCCCATTTGTTCTGAACTCACCCACAAAAGAAAATATCCTTTCCACATCCACCTTGTCAGTACCTTTCAGGTTCTTGTATATTTTAGTCAAGGTGCCCTTCACTCTTCCAAACTCCAGTGAAATCAAATCCAGAGTGTTTAACCTTAAAAATCAGTCATTCCAGGTATCAATCTAGTAAACCACCTCTGAACCGTATTTACATCCTCATTACCAGCCTGTATATTTCTCACATTTGTGTGTGGTGTTACCGATCTGTTTATTGCGTATGTCCAAGCCTGTGTAATGTGTTTTCAACAAACTAGTACTCAACTTTAAGAATTATCATCTTAAAGTTCTACTGTAATGTGAGTTGTTTTTAATGTTTCAGATGAAACACTTTGTTTTGAAGAACCCATCAGATCTACCAGTCACAGTGCAACTATTGCCAATTGCTCATTATCCAAATCCAGAAGATGTTTTAATTCTACTGAAGAAATGGTAAAAAAAAACTGTTACAACTGTACTGCAATTAAGAAAACAGCTGACTTAATTGGACTAGATTATCTTCCACTACAGCATTCAATGTTAACCTGTGCTACCCCTAAACATATTCTGAATGAAATCTAAAAACAACCTTTGCCATCTCAAGTTTTGACAAAGTAAATTAGTTGTTTTGGTTTCAAAGTTCTCACCTTTCTGAAGCCTTCTCTACTACTGAAAATGTGAATCCAGAAGGGCAGTTTTCCTGCATATCTGTACAGCAGGCATGGGCCAACAGTGTTGTGGAACAACATGGTCAAGTTTACACCTATGTCCAATTTCCAGTAGGGTCACTGAATAGTCAGGAGTAGGAACCCTGGTGCTTAAACCATTTTATCTTCCACCAACCCAATTAACATGATTTTTGTGACCCATGTTGCTTCCTGACTGAGATAAGCCTTTTCTGCACTTACTGATAACCAAAGATGCAATATTCTAATCTGTGGTTCAACTTCATGCTCGGTTTGCTATCTCGGGTCTCTGGTTAATACTTATCTTTAAATAAAATGTGACTTTAACCTATTTTAGAGCTGGTTTGAATAATGTGCCCAAACAATGGCTACTGTAGAGAGAAAGTATGGTTATACACAGTACAGTTATTCTCAGGTTGGCAGTAAATATGAATTACCACTGATGTAGTGAGAATATAGATAAAGTAGGATTTTCCACATCTATAATCTGTAAGTGAAACTGCGCATTTCTTGTAGTTTTATTTAGGTTTCAAGTAATCCAATTATTTAACTTTTTTTTAATAGGTACAAACTAAGCAGACAAGACATTAATGTCACAACAAATGAATTTATGCTGGTGAAGACCCTTGAAAACGAGGCAAGTTCAATTACATACGGTTTCCTAATACTTTATTAAATGTAGCAAAGTAATTAATTTATGAAGCCTTCTTGATAGCTTCCATCCTTTCAGTTTGACATTTATGTTCACTAAATTAAGTTAGTCATAGAGACATACAGCACGCAAATAGACCGTTTGGTCTAATTTGTTCATGTCGACCAGATATCCTATATAAATCTAATCCCATTTGGCCCATATCCCTCTAAACTGTTCCAATTCATATACCAATTCTGATGCCTTTTAAATGTTGTAATTATACCCGCCTCGTCCACTTCCTCTGGCAGCTCATTCCATACACGCATTACCCTCTGTGTGGAAAAAGTTGCCCCTTAGGTTCCTTTTCTATCTTTTTCCCCTCACCTTAAACCTATGCCATTAGTTTGGTACTCCCTTGCCCCATGGAAAAAACCTTGCCTGTTTACCCTATCCATGCCCCTCATGTCTTTTAAAAACCTCTACAAGGTCACCCCTCAGCCTCCAATGCTCCAGGGAAAATAGCCTCAGCCTATTCAACCTCTCCCTATTGCTCAAACCCTCCAAACTTGGCAACGTCCTTGTAAATCTTTTCTGAAGCCTTTCTAGTTTCACAACGTCCTTCCTATAGGAGAGAGACCAAAACTGCATGCAATACTCCAAAAGTGACCGAACCAGAGTCCTGTACAGCCCAACCTGACCTTCCAACTCTTATACTCAATGCACTGACCAATAAGGGCATGCATGCCAAACACCGCTTTCACTATCCTGTCTATCTGCAACACCACTTTCAAGGAACTATGAACCTGCACTCAAGTTGTGGAAAGTTGTTCCATGATTTATTCTAAAGCTGCCGTTAGGCCATTTCTTACAAATTAATATGACCAAATGACATGTACAATGAGTATAACAGTGAAGTTATCGGTACTCAGCATTATAATGCAGGAAATCTGACAACCGGTTTGGTGTACACGCTTGTACGTTTATGTAACATGCAGTGGAGATACGTGCTGTGTCACTGCATGTTGTTGCATTGTTTGCTGATGGACTCTGGCTTCCTGTGACTCCACTAGGATGAACTTGTGTATGTGTGTGTATATATACTACTGCACTAAAACAGTATGGAGTTGGGGCCAGTGCATTCAGTATAAGTTAGGTTATAACAACATGGTAAATGTTCATTGCTGCTGCAATTTGATTAATTTTACAAGGTTGGAAATTCATTTCCTTAAAAGAAAATTGCTGTTAAGCATTTTTTAAATGACTTCTTATTTACTGAGCTCTAACAATAGGCCATTGGTACAAATCAAATGTTGCTTCACCTGAGTGTTTCCACCATTTTGATTTTATTTCAAATGCTTTTACTTAATGTTGGGCTGTTTTAATCTACCTTTAATGCCACTTGTATTTCACTGTATTTATTTCAATTCCTGTGCATAATTGCAATGTAATTTATCATTTCCAGTTTTGCATTTCTGCTTTGGATTCTCTCAATGAGCATATTTTGATAGGTTGAACAGCCTATTGTTTGTCCAGTTCACAGATGCTATAGACCTTCTGTAGACGGCCTGAAATTGGAAAAGATGCTAGTTTATACAGGGCTTTTGCTGAATAGTGCACATGAAATCTGTGACTAGTTGTCAGAGAAGGACCCTGAAAGCATTGCCCTTAATTCAATAGTTTCGCTGATTTTATTTTCTCCCTTATGGTCCGGTACCTGTCTATTTTGTTTCCTGACAGTTAACGGGGAACTGGAATGCATGAGAATCACCACTGTGAACTCCTGCTCAATTAAGATGCCACTTTTTTTTTATTTTTGAATGCCATTTAGCACTTTCTAAGTTGTACAACACAGGTGATGGAAACTCAGTCTGTAGCCTGCCTATAATGACCAGCAGTACAGTGTATGTTAATGAAGCAGAATCCTCTGTCATGGTACAGAGGAAATAATTTTGTGATGTTTATAATGAAATAGAGTTCCAAGCACATGGAATTGGACAACAAGCCAAGTGATGGGATTCTTCAGTTCACTTTACAGCCTTGGGAAGTGAGGAAGATTGGTGTAGAGTTCACACCAGTAAGACACAGTCTGGTCACATCACTCATACTGATGAGGTACAGTGAGTCCCTTTAGGAAAACACCCCTATAAATACCTAATTTTAAGTGAATTACAACAATGCTTCAAATACCAACTGAGTATGGTTAATACCACATTGTAATGCCTATCTCTTTGTGAATTGTAAAGGCATGGGTAATTTTGTAACAGATTTCTTAACTTAGAAATTTACAATAATACAACTAACATATCTTATAATAAAACCAGAGATATGATATAGCTTCTAGGTTAATTGAATGGGAATACAAGTTTTCTTTTTGGCTTTGTCTTTCTTTCAGTTAATAAAATATCTAGCAGTATTTTCTGAATGAAACTCTTTTATATAATTTGGTTTGTAAAGTATTCTTGTTAAGCACAGCTTGAGTTTTGTTTAAAAAATTATTCAAAATTGCCACACAAGATTATATTATTTCTTTGTTAAAGAAACAACCTTACAGTACTCGATGCAGTGACCGTGGAAGGCTTTGGGGCTAATGAGATGCTGAAAGTGGGAGGAAAGCTGCCTGGAGCAGCAGGTTCACTTCGTTTTAAGGTTCCAGAATCCACGCTCATGGAATGTAGAGGCAGTAGGTATCTGAAACAAATGTTAAAAAGTGTTCCAGATGATAAGCTGATGTAATTTAGCGACTGAACAATAAATGATTCGTGTCTTAAAAGTTGCCTTTTGAATCTGCCACCCTATTTAGTTGCCTGCAATACAAGAATAAATAAACAGTGAATATTGTGCAGTTTAGGTCAAAGTTCTGTGAAATATTCTGACTTTTTTTTCTTAAGCAAAGCAATATTTGTTTGTAATTGAGAGGCCTGGTTACAAATTGCAGTCATGTTTTTTCAAACTTGCCTTTACATATTGAAGTTTCAAACAGCTGTTGTCTGGCTTTAGTGTTGATGGCTGTGTTTCTCTTCTGACAGCGACATTGACTTTTGGAAGTTAAAACTGAAAGGGAGTCTTTAGAACTGTCGGTATTTCCACGGTGTGTTGGTGTTTGCTGAATGTCAATTGTACAGAAATATTAA